TGCCAATATGTTGCTGTTTGAGTTAGTCACCTTTAACTTATTTAATCTGCATATTGTGGACTGAAATATAAATTACAAATTATTGTTTAGAACAAAAAATAATGACACAGAGTAAGGGGCGGACCATTAGAATTCCAGGGAGGGTGGCAATAAAATTTTTGCAGCACAAATTTTTTTTTCAGTCTCATGTCTCTGCAGGATTTTTTTTAATGCATTTAACCTCTGCAAGAATTTTTTTTCAAGACTATTTGTACTTTGCTGTTTGCTTGCAGGAATTTTTTTTCTGACGTAATGGCTGCACGAATTTTTTCCAGGCATTTTTCTTTGCACGAATTTTTTTGGGGAATCCCCCCCCCCTCCCTCCCCCTTTCCCGGGATTTCTAATGGCCAGCCCCTAATATTTCAAATATTATGAATGTAAACTATGAAGTAAATGAGATGTGGTTTCTTAAAAAAATTATTTTTTGTAGTGCTGCGCTGTAGTTTAGAGGCGTTACACGCTTGTCTATTTCAACTTTCAAAGATATCGAAATCTATTTTCAGTAAAGTCTAAAGAAATAAATTCAAAATGTGCTACAAATTCGAAAATTCAACCACAGTGATTCAACGCATATGCAATACATAATGAATATTTGTCACATAATTCATAAACCCATCATAGACAAGGACATAAACGTTTTGCCAAGTAATATCGATTTGCGATTCTTAAAGAGGGAAACCCCCTCAGGGAAAACCCTTCACTTAAATATTGCTATGCAGGTATAAAATGATTTATTTATTCTAATTAAATATAAGACCACTAAACAGATTTTATGTATATTTGTTGAGGTCATAGTGATACAATGTAGTTCAGGGTATTCGTGTCAGGTGAGTCAGGCAGGACTTGATTGGGAACTCTATTTTTCATGTACTCCTTTTGTCTGTGGCTGAGCCTTAAATTTTTTTGTTGTAAAATGAATAAAAAAAGTAATACGTAATCAATATACAATAATACATGGCTTACAGAATACAGTAAACTAACGGTTCCAATATATTGTTTAAGTTAAACGTCATATCAATTAAACCTTAGATCAATATATTACATTTCCTGAGTAAATCTGAAGAATATTAAACGAACTGCTCATAAATAAAGCTCAGCTGTGTTGCTACATAACTTGTAAACTTACTTCGACTGATTTGCTTTTCATGACAATTCCAAGAACTGCAGCTGTAGCATTCATTTTCTCATTCTTCTGTTTGAGTAGTACAGATCCCGCTATAGCAACACTGCCGAACCACAGACTCCCTTTGGTCCTCTTATTCGCAGAAACAGTCATGAGGAAGGAGTAAAATAAAGGCGCCTTTTCCCTCCACTCATTACATAGAAGCTCCAAATCGAACTTTTCCAAATCCGCTTTACTCGTTTTTCTCAACATTGAAGGGCTATTCTTAGAGCACAAACTTATGACTTCTTTGTTCAGAAGTGACAGCGTTTTTTTGAGTACATATTCTTTAACAGTTGGGCAGTTCATCACAGCATTTGCGATTTGTGATGGATTACCATGTGCCAAGGTCTTTCCAATCGACTTTAAACTCTTGCAAAGTGTCTTGTTGAGGGTTTTGCTGGGGTATCGCACTGACAACTTAACAGTTGGCGAATCTGCAAGTTCCCGAGAAATATTTCCTTCAGAAATAGGGGTCGAAGTGAGATGTTTTGGTGCTGTTATAATATGCGGCAACTCATTCCCAATAGGAATAGTCGGTGAGTTGAATAAACCCAACGAGCTTTGCGGAGAAATTGCAGAGGTGTTTCCAAATTTTAGTGATTTTGCCGCGCGATTGAGAACAGTTTGATTTTCATCACAATTATCAGCGTCCTCTACGATTTGTCGCTTAATTCTCGGCTGTTCTCTGTTCTGAAACGATTCTAGTATTTCCTTCCTAACTTCTTCCAAATGCTCAGAAGCGCGCTGAAATTTTATAAGTTTCTTGTAGCAAAAGGGTTTGCAAATAAACAAGCCAGGTTGTGCAGAATAACTATGTACATCAACACCAACAACCTCGTCCCCAGGGTCTTCCTGGTGGTGGCGCGTGAGCTGAGGAAGACCCTGGTAAAATAACACCGCGGAAAAACGTCTGGGCATGCGTCAACCTTACCTGTAATAGTATTGCGAACTTGATGAGAATCTGTTCCGAACGTTTCCGAAGGCTCAAAATGGCGGTAAAAAGGAGTGACTTCATTGTGCGTCTTTACAGCCAGATTTCGAGCGCAAAAATAAACATGTCATTCTAAAAACTAGGAATAAATATAGCCAGAAGGTTCAAGAAATTGTATTGTACAAGAACATGAACTAAAGGTGATTGTTGACAAATTTATCGTCTGAAACATTTTGTTTATCAACTAAGCAACGACAATTTCCGAATTTTCGTTTGAGATACATTTCTTTAAAAAAAACTGTGTCGCCAAATATAAAAATTTTCGTGTTCACAATAATTAAACTTTAGGATTTATTCTACAATTTGAGTGGGTTAAGAAGCTTAACTTTTCGAGAGTTTTCTTAACTTTTGAGTTTGAATTTTTGTTTTGAATAATTTTGCAAAAATTTTCGAAGTCGTGTCCGTTAAAATCAACAATTTTTTACATGAATTATATTTCATTCCATACTTTAAATGCGAGGACGCTTTCAATTAATGTCTAGTCTACCCATTTGCTATATTTTCTCGTTTGTTTTACTAATTCTTGACCAATTAATACGCATGTTTTTGTTTTAGAAATTGATATTCAAATTCCCCGCCATATTTTCATAATTTGGTGCATGCGCAGACGTTTTTCCGCGGTGTTTGGTAAAATACGATGAAATCTCCAAGATTCTTGGAGATTTATCGCATGCGCAGTAACGACAACGTTATGTTGCTGACTACAATTAGCGCTGGCGCTTACGATTTTCTTGTTTAAAAATATATATGTTTTGTTGATTGTTTATGTATTTATTCTCAAAGTTTTAACAAATTTTACGAAAAATACTTCAGATATAAGCTGTGAATACACATGTACACAAAACTATGCAACATTCATCATCATATTGTATCAATTTGTCGGAGTATGGCGCTCATATTTGTGACATTGTTTTGTTCGCTTTGGCAACCCTCGTATATATCACTGAATAAACACTGATAGTGTTGCCTGGAATATAAAATGATATTGATTGATTGTACTGTATATCAAGGTACGTACTGTACATATATACTGGATTTATTTGCACACGAGTTTCAAACTACTTCAGCCTTATAATGAACAGTGAGATCAGATCACTATAAACATACAGAAAGACTCCATATTTTCTCATCAATTCTGATTATCGTTACAAGTAACAGTAGAAATGCTTCAAAATTTATTCTGTTTTCTATGTAAAGCAGGACAGCATGCTTCTATTTTGCTTTGGTGGTAGTCACCACTCACCAAGTCAAATGGGCCATTCCATTTAATAGCCCCCAACTGAGGTCTGGATATCCTATGGGGGATAGGGGGTTTTTACCTTAAATTTTTCTAGAGGGTATAGCTTAAGAGATTTCCTAAAAATTAGGTGTTTTAGTGATATCCAAAGGGGCAGGAACAATATCCTGAAGGGGTAGAAAGATGTCAATGGGGGTTCCAAAATTGCATCCAATGGGGTTCCAAAATTTTTAAGGTATGAAGAGACCCCTCAATAGGGTGTGTGGGGGGGGGCTATATTAGATGGAATGGCCCAGTGTGCTGCAACAACTTTTAAAATTTGTATATATGTTTTTAAGGCACAATATGTAATGGAGTTTGATATGATGATCAGCACAACTTCAAGGTCTTAACTGAATGAACAACTTATCTGATATACTCCTAGTTCCAATACTTTGCTGTATATTATCACCAGCTCAGATGTCAGTTGGATCACTTTGAATGAACATTGGAGTGGCACAATAAGCTTTATTAGGGAGGAGTCAATAAGGACTGATCGAAGTAAAAGGCACACTTTTGGATATTTTAATCATAGCAACTACATATAGTGTAGGTTTCAAATAAAGTTTGAACAATGTACAACTGAAAATAAAAATTTATTTAATTTGAAACACTTAAAGGAATTACAACATATTATATGATAGTCATATGTACATGCATGATTATAGGTATATTCATTAGTTTTACTAGCTGATATTTATGACCATCCTGGGACAACATTTATTTTTTCCAAGAGATTTTATTTGCATGATAGTAATAAGTTTAATAGTAACAGAGAAGTGTGATGGATATGTGGAAGTAATTATCATTAGAAATACAAATATTAAACTGTAATTTTGACCATTGTAAATGTATTATTAAAGAAACAAAATACAAAAGTCAAACAAGGCTATTTAACATAACACAGTCATAATACTAGACTGGTTAAATAACTACTGCCAATAGAGGGATCATGAAAATCTTCTAAGATTACTATCATATAGCTCTGTAACAGGGACAGGTAGCTATATTGAGTTTCTTCACCTTGATGAACAAAATCATATAGCATTAGTAAACCATAATGCCATCAACTAATTCCCATTTAAAAATTTTCATGTTGGTCACTGTGAAATATAATCTTGAGGCCATCTTAATGATTGTTTACTATCTGATTAATGACATGATTATATATATTTCCATGGAATTCAAGTTGGCTTTTTCCCAAGTTCATGTAAATATGGTTCACCTGTTAAAATAATAAAATGTTTATTAGTTGTTTTGTAACAGAACAGTACCTGCTTTAAATAAAATATAGGGAAGAGAAAATCGAAATAACAGTTGTATTGTATATGGAAAACAGAATAAAATCTTTCTAAGCATTTCTACTGTTATCATAATTTTATTAACTGATGAGATAATATGAAGTCTTTCAGTATGTTAAAAACTGTGAGATTTCTGAAGAAGTCTTTCTGCATGTGTGAAATGAAGTCTTTCTGTAGGTGTGAAACTGTGTTAGAAAATGTGATTTCCGAGACTCTGAGAAAATGTGAAAGCAACGTGTGAAAATAAATCGAATAAATTCAGTATAAATATACAGTATACATACCTTGATATACAGTACAATCAATCAATATCATTTCATATTCCAGGCAACACTATCAGTGTTTTATATTCAGTCGCATTATAATTTGAAGCCGAATAGCATCTGATATATACGAGGGTTGCCAAAGCGAACAAAACAATGTCACAAATATGAGCGCCATACTCCGACGAATTGATACAATATGATGATGAATGTTGCATAGTTTTGTGTACATGTGTGTTCACAGCTTATATCTGAAGTATTTTTCGTAAAATTTGTTAAAACTTTGAGAATAAATACATAAACAATCAACAAAACATGTATATTTTTAAACAAGAAAATCGTAAGCGCCAGCGCTAATTGTAGTCAGCAACATAACGTTGTCGTTACTGCGCATGCG